TGACTGTTTAAAAGGTAAATACCAAACACTCAAAACGTATCTTACGTCTGTGTTTGTGTGTGTAAAAGTGCTAGACGTACCTTGCACGTCGTACTAAGTGCGATCTAGCACTTCTCCTTCTCATACGCAGATATGAACAGTTAGTTTCACTCTTTGATTAGGCACCAATTGCTTTTGCGTAGATATATGAGTACATCACGCACGCACCAAAATCCGCACGTGACTAGCTCATTTGAAATGAAGTAGTGAACAAAGGGCTAATGAGCAAGAAAGGTCGAAGCTCGGCAGTATCGATCGTCTCTCACCTCCGTAGTAAAATTAAATAAGATGTAATTTCATCCGCAGTGTTCAATAAAGTGAAAAGACAACTTTAATGGTCAGCTTCCTCTTTAGGTGAGGGACAGAGATCCCTCGACTTTTTACTTCAGCATTTAGCATACATCTTTGACCACACTTTGATGCTTATGTCGTTTACCGTACAGGATTATCCCTCTTCTATCTTTTCTCGTTCGTCTCTATAAACATCAATAATATAGAGCAGCTCCGACACACGCAATTATTGGCTTTTTTATTATTTAAACACACAAAACACCACCTTATATGAGCCACCAACCATTTAAAACGCATACATGCTTGTACAGAACTTGATTTATTACTCCGGACTAAATTACTCGTATAAAAGGTCTAGCTTCAGAGCTTGCTCTTCTATCTTATGACTAACACATTCAATCGTTCGAGAATCCTTTAATATTAAAAAACTAGCGTTTTGGGGGGGAGTGTAAACGCACAGGTCGATAGTGGGTAATTATCGTGGCCAATCAAATCATCTCATTCCAATCTTAACATTTTATAATTGACCTAATTCTTATGTGATCATCCTCACACATGTTTTTATTCTTTTTGGCATATTTGCCCTGATTCTAACTTTCAATTGCGTATGCGGCAATTGCATGTGCTTGAACGCGATCAGCTCGTAAGGCTAAGTTAATGGAAGAGAAGAAACGATATTACATTGATCCAAACTCATTGATAGCCCATACGTTGTGACTCTCTTGACTTGGTAAAATTCTTGCGGAGCACACAGTACTTGTTTGAGGCGCACATACACATGGAAATAACATTAATTTGTGTCTTGTTGCTTTCATATTCATATGAAAACTTATAATAATAAATCGACACTGAATGATCTTTCGAGAATGCCTGTTACCTCTTGACGTCAAAAAATTTAAGCTGGCTGCCTAAGTGACGCTTTTGCTGACAACGTTGTTGCTGGTCGCAAAATTGACAAATCCTGCTGTAAGATACGGGTTGTGTGCGCATAAATCACCTGATCTCTTAATGTTACCACCTTGAGCTATTGTAGCCGATTCTGCTAATAAATTATGACGTGTGGTATTAATATGTACACGAGAAACAAGTACAGTGTTTCTTTTAATCAGTCTTAAAGTTTCACAATGTTTTGCTTTACGTTTTATAAATGACGCTCATCGATCTCATTAAACTCAATCTATTGTAGCTTTGACCTCCTTATTAACAGCAACATTAATATGCACTAACCAGATCACAGGAGAGCTGTTTGTCTCTGTCGACGAAGTTTGTCACGCTCTTGACGAGCTGACACTACCGGAAGACTATGTTACAACAAGTAAACGGCAGCAAAGGGTAAAACAGAAAGGAAAGTTGGATTAAGCAGTGAGTCCGCATGGCTCAAGCAACTCAAAGGAAAGTTGGATTAAGCAGTGAGTCCGCATGGCTCAAGCAACTCAAAGGAAAGTTGGATTAAGCAGTGAGTCCGCATGGCTCAAGCAACTCTTTCCACAGCAGGCAATTTATGACGCGGTAATACAGTAGCACTTAAGCCTCACTAGAGAGTGAGCTGCATAAATATGCGTATTGTGTCTACACGATCGTCTATACACACGTTATTGTGACAGATGGTCTGAATACAACTGTACTACAATCAAATTGCCGTCATCGAAGCTTTTCGGGGTCCTCCTCTGGAAGAAGATAGAGATGTGCTGTAGGGATGGATTGCATTCACCGTAACCAAGCCGGTGCTCACCTTCGTTTGCTGTCCTATGCAGCAAGAGGTGTGGATAGGCTCTACTATGTTCAAACACCGCTAAAGCGACGACCGCAAACAAGGCCGATCAACCGAATGAACGCGACACCAAGCAACGCTTCAAAAAAAGGAGCGCTTCGTCAGCGACCAATCTTTCTTTCCAGCCTCTTGCGCGTCCCAGCGACTGGTGTACAGTCGCTGAAGCAAGCGCGAAGTGTGTGGACGTCAGCCAACTATAATATCCCCTGGTCCACAACTGGCACATTTTGCGGCTGCGCCAGGAGTATACCCAAGCCAGTGCATTACCAGTTACGTATCTTCCAAGTGAAGAGACTCCTCTTTAGGGAGTTGCGGATATGGCTGGCTCGGTCTTGACTGTTAAATTTTAGAAGTTTGAAGCAACGAAGTACAACAAACCAGTTTGACAACTTAGATGCTTAAAAATTATTTTAGGGACCAATGTATGGAGTGAAAGCTCAATAGCGAAAACTGAAGGCTCAAGAGTGTCTCCTTTTAAAAATTAGAAGTATGTTAGATGCGCTAAATTGGTTGGATGGTTTTATCAGAATTAGATTGGGTATAACAGATTAAGACGGAAAAATTTATTATTTGGTTGGCCAAAACAAATCACCGGTGCAATGACCCACTGTCGACCGGTGCGCACCATGATCACCCGTCAAAATGTGAGCAAACTATGATTTATCGTACCTGCCCGCGCGCGCTAGAAAATGAGTGCTCCCGAGCACGTTACGGATGCAACCATTGTCGACATTTTCTCTCTAGAACAGTTTGCCGCCTTTGCGCGTACCTTTGACAGATTTACCTATACACCTTGTCAAGTTCATCCACACCATTCCGTATCAAGTGCCTATTCAGGTTAAGACGCCACGGAGTGTCATGTTGGCACCGCTGTAGGCTCAAATATCACCTCGTGGTATCCTGTAGACGCCACTGTAAAGTTCGATTCCGCCCAGCTGAAGCACGTAGCAAAATGAAGAAGAAATAACTGAAAATCATGGTCCTTCGAGTGACCACTGCTAGCATAAAAACGGAGACTAATGGATAGCTGGCACAGTTTAGGATAGGCAAAACGAAAATTCGGAAATGTTAGTGTATATTGAAAAAATGTTCGTACACACAAAAATCAAGTCTTCCATGGACGAGACCAAATACTATTTGAAAAGGCGCACCTGACCTAAGTCCGTATGAGAAATCCAATTATAGGTACATCAAGGGAGCCTGAACCCTTCGAAAGGACGACCTACAAATGGAACCTTTTGTTAGAAGCAGGTCTTACCGTCGAAAATTAGATATAGGCCGTATCACAATAGTAAATCGACCGACATGGAATCAAGAAGTTACACAAATTGCATGCTTTCATCGAAAAGAGGATACGGCGTGGCTTCATTTATCTCCGGAGCAATTTTCGAGTGTGAAGAATACAAAGTAATGTATTATGGGTATGCCTCCACCACTACCAGCACTACTCAGATGCTTTTTACGGTCTTTTGCTACACTTCGGAAAGAGAAGATCAGCACAATTACTTGATTCGTATCAGTAGTTCTTCCTATCAAATCATTCAATGGTGAGGATTATCACTTTTTACCGATATAATGCAATCAGCAATCATCTAACAGTATCTTAAATAGAGACATTCCGCTCACTACTCACCACCTACCAAGATTGTTATGTACTGGGCATATAGATTAATAAGTCTCTATATAGGGTCTGCATTCGACAAGAACGCACAATGCTTAAGGCGAGTACCCTAGCTAGAACACCTTCTTATCAACCATCTGTATTGAGCGTCATGGCTGGTAGTATCATGTAGTACGAGAAAGAGAGAGAAAAGAAAGTTCCAAGGAGATGCTCCCTGCCAGGATCGAACTGGCGACATTCAGATTATGAGACCGACTCTCTATTTATTAAGCCAAAGGACCTTCAAGCCCATTGGTTGCACTCGTTTTCTCACAAGGAATACAGCTCTTCTACGCGATACAGACGTGCTCACATAATCTCATAATATCGCTGATTTTTGGCAAATACTTTGGCGCTTGTATGTTATGCATGTAATCATGTAGCCGTTTTTACGTATCTTTGCTGCTTTACTTCTAGATTTCGGCCTTGCCTGGAAAAACGCCTTTTATTAAATAATAACGCGTTTGGATGGAAAAAAACAAAGATATTCCTTCCAACATACGGGGAGATTGATTTTATTCCCCATAAAAATTAGATTGTTTTCTACTTTTGATTACAATACGTCACGGTAGCACGTTGTTATCATCTTGTAATTGCTTTAAAAGTTCATGTCACCCAAGGGCAAACAAATTGTCGTGTAATGTCATGATGTGTTTTGAGGATCAGCATCCACTGACAGATGGTTAGTACCATGACAAGCTTACGTTGTTGTAAATAAAAATTTAGAGAACACGAACGCTTTCAGTTTAAATTTATCAGTAAACTTATCATTAGAATAAGTGAAGTGTGTTGGAAAGGTGAGTCTAGTTGATGGGAGTAATTGGCCTTCCCAGAAAGGTTCATGGGCGTAGTGGAACGGATGTCAGAACTCGGCGTGAATATATGGTCAGCGGTTGCAAGTTGTAACGAACTTTAGGTGAGTCAGGAAAGAAGGAAGTGCAGAAAGCATAGCTGGTAGCAAGTATAAGAGAAAGCAGTTTTCACGAAAACAGACATAACAGAACCAAATTTGCCATCCGTCCATTGCCAACTTCCCACAGGTTATAAGCCCATAGGCAAAAGAAGACGATGTCAAGGCCCTACAGGTGACAGAAGGTTGCGGAATGGCCTCGTCGTCACGTGCTGACTTCCCAGGACCCGCAGCTATTCTGCCGCGCACCGCGGCTGTCGTTAGATACTCGCCGGCTCACTAAGGATATCATCAACCGACAAAAAGATTCTCGCGCCCTCTCTGACCACATGGAGAATTTGGAGACTAAATTGGTATATGGCGAGGGGGAGCGTGTGCATGATGCCTTAGAAGGCGGTATGTTTGCATTGGTTCTAGGCGCGAATGTGAACGCAAAGACGATGAAATACGACGCGCTAAGACACTCATCAGAGCGCGAACCAGTGGACCGTGAAGCGCAGGCTCCGGGACCTTTAATCGAACTCGAAGCCTCCCTTTACCTATCTCTAGTGACGCGTTTACCGATGCCGTACATGTAACAAGAGCATGGGCAAGCCTTACTAACGAGACACTTCCTCGAGTAAAATTCTAGCAGCGCCACTTCTGCAGCAAGGGGCTATGAACTACGTATGTGAAACCTACGGCAGCCCACTCAATCTAACGAGCCGTAGATTCGACAATAACAGAATCTTCTGTTGTTAAGATCCATTTCCTTTGCTCAGAAAAATCGTTCCTGTGACAAGTCAACTTGGTCGACGCATCGTGCGGTTTTTGGTGGAGCGAAGGCGTCAAGGTGAATTACTAGGCCAATACCAAGCCGGTACATCCAAGAGGTGCTACCACAAGCAAGTCGATTTCTGGTGGAACTAGAATTCACTACTATACTACGTGATGGGACGCTGGAAGGAGACTTAAAGATGACGATCACAGCCGTCTAGTCTATATAACATGAACGCAAAATACAGACGCAAAAAGGTCTTTAGCGGAGTATTTCCTGGACCTTGACGCGGTAAGTGATGCACGGGGAGGTGATGACTCGCTGGTACTAGACAGTATAGTTCATCATACTTCGCCTGATCTCATGAATGTGATGCGAGCCATGTACGACCCCACACGGAGCAAATCTTAAGACATGCCGAAGAATTGACACACTTTGCGACGTTAAATGAGCTTGGAAGTGGATCGATTGTCGTGAGATTGTTGCTACGCATGTAGAGACGTCTTCTTAGTGCAAAGAGTTATGCAGATGTTTAGGCATAGCAAGATGGTACACATTCTAGCGAATCGCCGGCACAAGGGAACGAAAAGTGCTGACAACAAAACTGATACTAACGATGAAGACATGATTCTTAAAACAAGCGGCAATAAAGCTCGTAGGCGTGGAGCACGCGGAGTTAGAAGAAAAAAGGCGCCGACCGATTACGTGGATGCAGTCGGAGATGCAGACGACAGCAAGCCAAGCGACTGGATAATGGATAGCGGTTCAAGTAGGCATTTGGCATATGATTTCTCGCTAATGCAGGGCGTCGATCAGTGCGACCATGGAATATCGATGGCAGACGGTATGTCACATGAATAATGATTGCTGAAAGTGTCCGGTTGAGCGTGATTGCAAATGTTACAGCTCGAACGATCACTCTTATCGATGTCTATGTGTAGCCACAGCTTGCAATAAACATCGTCTAGTACGGGAAACTCGAGCAAATAGGGTTTAGGATCGTCTACAGAAGATCGGGTCACTACCTACTGCTATGCAGAGATGAGGAGATCGCATTTGACATCAGGATGCAGGCGATAAGTGCTGTACGTCAAATCATCAGCGACGCCAGTGGAACAAAATACCAAGAGATGCTTTGGTGGCCGTGTTTTCGGACACAAAGAAGTATGCCAGCAGACGATGTGCAGACCTGATCTCTTGTGCACTTTTATGCGCATCTGGCACCTGTCTCTTAACACGATTGATCGAATGGCGAAGACACCTGGATCGGGTATCAAGATTACGAACCACAACAAGAACATTTGTTATTCGTGCAAAGAAGGGGAGAAGACGAAGAACAAACAGTCTCAGATGTATACTAGGAACAACTCGTCTATCGATAGGATGGGCGAAATAGTTGCTCGGATTTACAAGGTAAGCTAACTTCAGGAGATCGACCAAAAAATTGCTACCTGATCAACTTCATCGACCAAAAATCGAACTACAGCCGCGTAATACTAGTACCAAAGAAGGAAATGGCTGCGATAAGATTCGAGGACTTCGTAATGCTTTTCGAGCGCACGCTCAAGTGCAAGATGCGCATCTTGTGAACGGAAGGAGGCGGCTAGCTCTGCGAGCGCACAAAAATTGTGCGACAAGTAGCAAAGCGCAGAATTAGGCTTTTATCGGCAAGTTAAGCTTATACATCGGACGATACCCAAAACGGCACGCAGTATGATAATCTCTTGTAAATTATATCTCAAATTCTGGAGAGACGCAGTTCAGTACTTTTCTTACTTCCCGAATAGAATCTCGACGCGATCATATACAGGACGCGCATCTCCAATCGATTTTTTGACGATGTAAGCCCTCGATCTTTTAAGATTTTTGTGTTGGGAGCATATGCTCTACGTGCAGGGATCCTCAGAAGAACTCGCTGACGCAGCTATTGCAATTCGTATTAACCATTGGAATTAGCAGGGAAAAAAAGGGATTTTATGTGTTTATACGAAAGATGAGTAAGGTTGTGAAGACGCGTCGTGAAAGTCGGCTCAATGCGGAGAAAAACATTCAGCTGCAGTGCCCATTGAGGTATGATGGAAATCAAGCGATACGAATGAAGTCGTAGATTCAGAAAAATACTCAAAAGTGCACGCAAGGCAAATAGAATTGGAAGAGTGAGGCGCACGGAACGAGATCAAGCTTGATACATGAAGCTGCAGCCAGCGACCGGGAGAAGTCGGGTCAAGTTTTGACGTTGTGATCCATGCCTTCGAGAGGGACCCAAATAATTACGGCGAAGCGATGCGCATATCCGTGATGAGTCCTGGAAGAAGTCAATGTACGAAGAGCTGACATCCCTCGAGGATAAAGTTGTACGGAAGCTGATAATGCACCCTGCCAATTGCAACTTTTTAAGCAGTAAAAGGGTTTATTAACCAAAACGGACGCGTGAGAGGACATAGAGAGGCTCAAGGCGGGATCAGTTGCGTGAAGCAACGAGCAAGTCCTAGGCGTAAACTACATTATCACCTTAGCTGCCGTCATGGGCATGCCGACATTAAAGGTGATACTGACACTTGCAGCGACGTGAAAGGTACCAGCGAAGCACGGGAATAATTTGACGGTTATGTCAAGGCGGACAACGAAGCGCACCTCGACATTATATTGCAAACTTTTAATGCATGGATGTCAAATGCAATACACTCTAGCAGCTCGGCGCAAGACAAAATAATGACTTGGTGCTTCAGCTACTTAAAATTTTGAACGGCTGGAACAAGAGAGGCGACTATGTAGTCAGCTTCTACACACGCGACTTACGGATGCTGATTTCGATCATTTGTTTTGCCGAGATGGGTCTGTACCGCAAGAAATATGGTGGACATGTTGTCGCAGTCGGCGTGTATATCGATGATTTTCTTGCGACCGGCACTAGCGCTGTGACAGTGGATAATTATTCGCCACCCTCAATTCATTATCGTCCGAGGATTTATGACGTATTTCGAAGGTTTCGGGTATGCGAAAGGCACTTATCGAAGATGACCCTATGGCTGAAACAAAAAGGAGGCTATTAAGGACCTACTGCGCGATTGCGGACTATACGAAGCGAATTCGACTCTTGCTCCAATTAAGGCAGACTGTATCTAGGTGTAAGATGAAGATAGTGCGCTGCTCGAGGAAACAAGCACTTTTACAAATCTACCAATTAAGTATTTCCAGTAGCTTGTTGGGAGTCTATTCTGGATGACGCGTTGTACGGGGCCAGATGTGGCGTTTGCAGTGCATAAAGCGACGCACACAACCCACCAGCCACGTGCTCACGACTGAAAATCGGCAAAGAGGATTTATCGCTACTTGAAAGTCACTCAAGGACTAAAGATGAAGATGGAATTGAGAGTCGAAGATCGATACACCTCGACGCTTGGGCCATACATCGAAGCAGACTTTGCTAGTGATAAGAAAGACCACAAGTTGTTGACTGGAAGGGTCATTTTTTTCAACGGCGTACCAGTGAGCTGGAGCGCGAAAAAACGAGGGGGTGTATTATCGACAACTATGGATGCAGAATTTGTGGCTTCTTCCAAGGCAGTACGTGAATTACTCGGTGTGAGTGAAATGATGGGTTAATTCGTCATAACGCCGGTCATTACCCATATTGATTCATGTGAATAACCAGACGGGCATCAAGCACCTCGAAGGCGTGGATTAATCAATTGAGACCAAGCTTATCCACGTGCGGCTCAAATTCGTTCGAGACTATGATAGGCGCGGCATTGTTCTCACGAAATACGTCCGCTCGGAAGTAATGATTTCTGGATTGCTCACAAAGCTCTGGATCCACCGGACCTAGCGATTTTGCGCGCACTAATGTGCTTGTCTTATTTGTCCAATGACCATGCAATTGACAAGGTTGCAAGGCGATGGGGTACAGGTGGTGGTTTTGATGAGTTGATGGTGCAGCCAGGATAGCTGCATCTGAGGAGGAGTGTCAAAGAAGGTGGTCACAGGAGGTGGAAGTAATTGGAGTTTTCTGAAGGGTTCATGGGCGTAGTGGAACGGATGTGAGATCCCGGCTTGGACTAATGAGAAACGGGTGAACGTTGTGTACGAAATACAGGTAAATGAAGAAGGAAGCAGTGCCGAAAGCATGGATAGGAGAAAGTAAAAGAAAAAACAGTGCTCGTGGGAACAAACATGACGTAATCAGATTTGCCCTCATCTGCCCATGTCAAATTTCTACACAGTGGCGTAAGTCGGTTCTCACATGCACATATGAAGCATTGTCAAAACACCATTCGTATACTGGATGGTATTGGTGACCATAAATTTAATGTTGGACTTCATCTCAGTTGTATCGTCTGCTGGCACACTACTGTCTACTTTTAAATTTTCCAATTTTGAATGCTGGCTTCAATTAACTTGACCACCATTCCCTGTCATCTTGTACCGTGGTCTTCGTAATTCCACGTCCTTCGTGAGTCCTAATGCCAATAAAAGGCTGCAACAGTCCTTCGTGCACAACGGATTTAGGCACGAGTTTAAAAGCGTCCGGTTGATTGTGTGCTGACACAAATAGCCGGTTGTAGGGCTCATCCCCTGGATGGAATGCAACAAATTATTGCTTTTCTCCTTGTTATAAGCTTCCATTTAGCACTCGAGAAATTCGTGTTCAGTCTCAACCAAAATTGTTACAGGACAAACATTCATTTATTTTACCTTTGTTAACATGTGCTCTATGTAACATACGTCTTATGTATTATCAGGATGGTCACTATGTTTGGGGTGAGTACGACTTGAGATGACGTGCTCTGAGGGTCGTTAGGTCACAAACATCTCGAAGAAGTAAGTGATATGACACTAATCAAAAAGCAGATATATCGGCGTCGCGCAACGAAACTGAGGTCCTTAGTAGTCCGAAAGACTTGACATTCGACAACTAGTGTAGAAAGAATCACCACTTTGACACATCGCTGCGTTGATGACGACATAGTGGGAATTCTCTACACTGAACAACTGTACAAGGCGCAGCAGAAGACGATGCAGGAAGGAGAAGCCCACGAAGCTTAGAACGGTGCTGTGATACCATACTAAATTTCACGTCACAGAGTCGTATTCTTTGTTTTTAGTCGTATCTGAAGAGGTGTGCTAAGATCAAAAACCACAATACCCGTTGCCTGCAACAGCAGAGGCCTGATAGTGCGCGGGGAATATTTAATTGCGGTTTTTGGTCCATTCGGGGACCAGACAAATCCTTTTTCGGTTCAAACTCTCTCCACAGGCGCCTAAACAATCTATAAATAGAGGTGTTACCCGATATCTTGCTTGTAACATAATTTCTTCCTCGCCTTGTGCACACGTCAGCATTGCATCGTGCGATATTCCTGATTGACTTCAGTTGACTTTGGTATTGATAATGCTATATATACTAGGGTGTGGTAGTCGTTCATGCGGTTAAGGGTGTATTTGAATGCTCTATTCGAGTTGTCACAATATGTCTCAAGATCGGCTTAGGTCCCGATGTGTTTTAGCAGCTCATTGATCCTCTGAACCCTTGATATTCAGTCGGGACTTTGTCCTTGCGTACTTGCTGAGTCCGATCGCGGTTATTTTGGGTATTATTGGTAGCACATCGTCCAATGATACAGAAGGTGAAAGTTATGTAGACGCGTGGTCGAGAATCTTAAACGTCGTATGGCCAAAAATCCCGCCTGGATGAAACGTAAACACTCGTTTGGTAAGTAAAATGGACCCTTGATAACTACTCATCCGGTAAGTAAATGGACCCCTAATAAATGCAAACCAGACAAAAGCTAAACTGAATGACTACGTCTTCGAATCTTCTGCTACCTTCTACGTGGTCCAAATATGTATCGATATTACTAGTTTCTGTATTCCATTTGTCACCGGTACCGTAATGAGTATTTCCTCGTACGGCGCGGTCCATGTCATATACTACCCTGCCCTATCTTGTAGAATATCGAGTGATTCAAGTGTTGTAGGTCACACCCGATATAATTCACGTGATCGCAAATTGGTGAACGTGGACGTGAAAACGGACGGAGATCATTATGTGGTCTAAACTGGATATAACCCAACGCCTATTGCGATTGCGACTGAATGGTCGCGTATCCCATTTATTTACTCGACTCAGACCATTGACTTACGGGTGTCGCTGTACGACCACAGACAAATGATCCAGTCAATACCAGTGAAAAAGGCATTGCTGCTCATGAAATGAAATGAAAGCAAGTAGCGTTGCGCTTGCTCGAAGAGAGCAGGCACAACGATCGCAGGCTGGTGTCTGAGAGACCAAGAAGCAACAGTTCAGGTGAAGAAACGAACTTCACGCAAACAAGAATTTCTGTACAATCAGTCAATCAACCTCGGCCTATAGTAGAATGCATGATTGTGTGTTGCTGTGCCCTGCGACTAAATTTGTGCTGCAATGTGTTTGTTATTATCGGTGTAGATTTTCAGTCGCTGTCAGTTTTGCTGCTGCTGTCAAATATTTTATAGCTTTTGATTTTACGTTGTTGCTGCTACCTAGTGCAAGCAAGAGTAAGTCATTTAGAAAGTCGGGATTGGTGCGTTCGTTCATGGCTTACGTACGTACACTACGGAATCAAGTTTGACAAACGGACTACGATGCACAACGTGAAAATGAGATAAATGATTATTTCCAGACGATAAAATCACTTTTACTCGTACACGCGGGCTTGTAATTCTAATGCAAAGCATGCTGATTTTCATACAATGCAATTCTTTTTTGACAGTCCTACTGCTACCTAGGTTTGGTTGGTCGTTACTAAGCACTCTTCATGTCGGACTGGCGACATTTGATCGGAATGTGAAGGTTTACGACCCGTTATAATGTCAAAGCTTCTTCCTTAAAGTGTACCCCATGCACCATGTATTCATCAAAATGAGATTATGAATCACCAATGGTAACGTACATTGTTAACTACCATATCTTTTCTGAACTGTCAATGGCCGTTATTGTGCATGTGGTGGCTTTAGTGGCACCGATGCGGTAACCGTTTGCCAGCATCGCAAAAGCTTTTTCAAACATAGACGAAAACCGAAATGAAAGATTTGTTACGTGTTAGTTACACCAACCATGATCTTGCTCAATAATTCGACCAAAGAACCTTTTCGATGCATGCGACAGACCACGACAATACCGTGGATGAGAGCTCAAAATCTCGAGCAATTTATTACTTCACGGACCCTAACTTTAGACAAATACGCAGACTTTACAATGTTCCGAATTGATTGGAACGGTATCCTGATGCAGAACGTTAGGCGATCCGCTGTTGCACATCAATTTAGCGCGAGAAATCGCGATCGAAAGATAAGTCAAGTCATTAAGGCGACCTAGGCATTGGCAAGTGCACCGACCTGCATTAAAGGGTGAGAGAATACCGCTGTTGCCATCATCGTGATCTGAGAAATAGACGCTGCTGCAAGAGAGATGTATTCATTCATGTAATTGACATGAAGCACCTGTCGCCCTCTATTGACAAAATGAGGTCGAATCAGCGTCTGTCCAGTGTTCGGTATCGCTCGGTATCCTATTCGAGAGGTATTACCCTTACCCCGGGCTCATCCTTATCAAGAGAGAACCTCAATTTGACCATCCCCTCGATAATAATACCAACTTTCACCGTCGGATAAAAGCTTGGACCTTACCATTCGTCTCGATTGCAATCAAGCAAGTCGATGGACTTTGAAGCGCTGTTCCCGCCGCTCGTGCCACATGACGATGACGACCTGAGCTCCGTCGACATCAATGTGCAGGACATCCTGCTTCCTCCACTGGAAAAGGCCGTCGACAGTGGCATCTACCGCGCTTTGCGGCGCTGGAACGAAGCTGACTCGGCGCTAACGGATAAAGCGCTGCCCTATTCCGAGCGTGTGAAGAAATACCAGCGAATCGCTGCGCTTGCGTTGCAACCAGACGGAGGACTGAATAGTACTGAAGACGAAGCACTGGAAGCAGAAGATCGAACCGGTACAGAGTCTGAAGACGAGCAGGTGGGAGCAGCTGATCGAGCTGCCGTAGTGGCCAAGCAAAAGGCTGTTACGGCGGCCTTGACGCGGCAGAAGAGGGAGCGGACGAGACGGCAAAAGGAAGGGGAGGACGAGCGCGTGCGGTTCGATGCTGTGTTCAAAGAGCTGGCAGACATTGACGAGCTGCGAGCGGAGCGAGTGCCGAGGGAGCGACTGCAGACGTTTGTCCGTACATTCCAAGTCAAGAAGCGACGACTGGCGCAGAAGCGGTCGAGTGTCGATACAGTGACGGCCATGAGCTTTGAGTTTGCACGGCCAGTGCCGGATGTGCATGAGCACGAGCTGGACGAGACGGAGGAGCCAAAGAAGAAGAAAGTCGAAGCTACGGACACGGACGTGGACAGGGACTTGATTCTGTGGGTTGACGTGCTGCATCCGAGTAAAGACCCGGCCAAGACGCAGTCGTTCCTTGTGCGACGGTCGCAACGGATCTCGGAGCTCGTCGATCTTGTTGCGTGTGCTTATGACGAACGGCTGGGTGAGCATGCGAAAGCGTCGAAGCTCTTGTACTTCGGCCAGAAGTTTTTCGTCGATCGACGGCTGCCAGGGACGCTGGATTACTCAAAGCAGATTATTCGCTGGATCCAGGCGAAACCGAAGCGCCAGGCGAAGTTTGGCACGTTTCCTGATAGTGATCGAGTGGCTGGCAGCCTTCACACGTCGACTTTTGCTGACCTTGCACTGCACATTGACGTACCAGGGGTGTATATCCATCAGGGAGAGTGTGAACACTTGTTGAGGCTGCGAGATGCCCGTTTGCCGCATGAACTTGACTCGCCAACAAAGGATGGCATGTTTCCGATGCGATTGCCCAATGTCTTGAACCACGCACTTCGCAACTGCTTGATTTGCCAGCATTACAGCGCCAAGTTTGTGTGCTACGGTGACCGTCTCGCAGTAGTGGATCCCATGTTCTTTTGCGACCGCTGCTATCGCGCTGCCCATTACGACGCCGATGGAAACCTGCTCTACGACGACTTTTTGAGCTTCCCCTTTGTTCAAGACTAGCTAAGGTCTGAGTGCTTCCAGCATTCACAATTTAAGTGACCCGACATAACACATCGACATGTCTACCCACCTCTGACCGAATCAAACGAGCTCGTTACGGAAACTTGTCGTGCGCGCCGTATTCGTTGACGGCCGTGCGCGAGGCTTTGGAAAACTTCGTTAGCGCGAGCACCCCAAGGCTGCAAGAAGCACTGACCACGAACATCATGTCGAAATACCGATGAAATACGTTGAACTCGATTTCGCCAAGCACTTCGTCTATTCGCTGGCTGCTTCGATCAACAGACAAAACACACATGAAACACAACGTCAGGATGTGCTTGCTGAATTGACGTCGCCTTCGTTGCCGTACCGGTGCAGCGAGCTGAGATTCATTCGCATGAGAACAAACGAGGATACGAAATACATCCCCATAAGGTGTGCGAGCCAGAGCACGACGCTGTTTGACGATACGGTGCTTGAATAGGTACGAAAGAACTTCAGTAGCGTCACTAAGAAGCCTCGTGTCTGGGTGAAGACAAGAATGCCGACAAAGCCAAGTGAGGCCACCTCTGACACGAAGCGAATATTCAGCTGCTCCGCCAGCGACGGCCAAATATACAGCAGCTTCTCGATAACGTCGGTGATCGGATCCTTGTCGCGGTTCCTTCGGAAGACTACATTTATAGTGCTCATCAACATCTTGTACACGCAGAAGACGGACATCGCATAGCCAAAGCAGTTGAACACTCGGCCCCGCAACGTGCGTGCGCGCAGCGATCTCGCCTGCACATCTCGGAGGTCATTTACTTCCAAGAACAGCTCCCGTCCCAGACTCTCAAGCGTCAAGATCTCTGCCTCCAGCCCTTTGATATACGTCGTGTCGTCTTTTCTGGACGAAAACAAGCTCAGTGCCCACACAATCAACGAGTCACTCTTGCCTTTACTTGCCAGAGCAGCATCCTGTCTTCTCACCGACGCCCTCAATTCCAGTGTCAACCGCTTCTTCTTCACGATCAGAATGTCCAGATTATGCCGCAGCCGCTTCTCCAGGAACTCAATGTCTTCCTCCGCCACTCGACGCCAGAAGAAAGTCATGTACTCGTAAGGACAGTTGACAGCTCCAAAGCCCGACAACAGCGCCATGAACACGACCCCGAGTAGACTTACTCGACTCACAAAGTTTCGAATCGTAAACAACGCTGTAACACCTGCAGCAAGATAACAAACAACAACAACAACAACAACAAATAAGAGGCCTTCACATCACTCATCTGATCCCATCTCATCGTCTAGAGCTCCCCTTTCACCGACAAGAAGAGCCCCAATCACGTCACTACACGCACCATCAACTGACTGATGCGGCAAGTCTTGTTCCAGGACTCCCCCCAGTCGCCAAAAGCCATATAGATACAGCAACAGTGCTGCACTGGCACTTGCAAGCGCTTGTCTCCTGGCCATACAGTACTCTCTCGCGAGCGCATAAAAGAGCGAGAGCGGCAGAATGAGCACCACCAGATACGTCATTGCAATGAGATCCACGCGCCAGACCCACTGGCGACTGGCCACGCTCATCACGTCCGTCACTTCGAAGAGGACCATCTGGAAGATACTCAGGGAGAAGGTTAGGGACGCAGCAAAGAGCAGCGGCGTGGCGGCGCTGCGAACGGCGTAGTCGCGGAAGAGCCATGAGGAGAAGAAGAAGCGTGCGAAAAGGAAGAAGAGCAGCCAGCTGCTGGCCGCTAGGCTCACGTCGGTGGACGGCAAGGCCCACAGCGCCGCAACGAGCGACAACTGCGTCATTAAATGCGTCGAAGTGTTTCAAGTGGTTGTTGCAGCGATATGATGCGTTGATCTCGATCACAGCTGGAGTGTGGTGTGGACTACGCATAGTTGAAAATTGTGAGCATACTGAAAGTCGGATCCTATGATGTAATCTCGAACGCGGCGACAACGGTTTGACGAGCAATTCGATGATTACGCAGTTGATTACACGTGGGCTTTGAACCTTTTTAATAGAGTTGTAAAATGATGACCTAGACTAGGCAGGTTCTTGACTGCCTGCAATAGGAAGGTATCCAATCGGACTGACCGTGTGGTGATCGTTACATGGAGGTTTGTTTGGTTGAGACTCGCAAAGATGCCAAGTAATGAGACATGTAGACGTTGACCATTGCTGCACGCAGATGTCGTACTTGCTGCTGGGTAATAGGCTGAATTGACGTTCACCTTTCGCTATCGACGCTGGCGCTGGAAGCCGATGTGCACAATGTATACACCTGGAACATGACGGCTTTTTGCTGTATGGTAAATCACTTTCAGTGCTAAGTGAAGTAGTCAAGATCGGCTGGAGCAAACTGATACATGAGCTGTGATAACGAAAGCTACCGTTCCATCGTGATGCGATCATGACGTGCAATAACTTTACTTGTGCGTCGAAAAATCGACAAGCTCTTCCGCTGATTTACTCGTTTGTGACACCGTGTCGAAGCGGTTACAAATGACATGAGCCTTTTGTGTTTATCAAGCACGTACTCATACGAGTCGAGTGGAAGTGCAAAGTATCACGTTGCATTGCTAACGACAGGTTTTTCCTGGTATTTGCACTAGAGTGACGGCTTTGGGCGATGCATCAGCCTCGTCCACCATGACAAGGTAGCTCAATGCAGGTCGGCATCTTGGAGCAATCGACAGTATTTCTAGCAGACCATATTGAATAATGCTCACAAACCTGGATGATGTGTGAGGAGCAGCGTGCGAATATGTAACGTAGAAAACTCTAGTGGCTGAGTAACATGTCTGCTATATTGGTCGGATACTACTTTCATGGCGTTGTCTACTGAGCCAGGATATAAGAACGCTGCCCTATTTCCAGTGCATGTACGGGATCAGAGCTCTTCTTCTTACACTGTTCCGACGGCAGCAGCAGGCCCAACATCACTTGACTAAGGCGCTCTGGGCCGTCGGTATTCTGCTTCATCTTCACGCAGAATCTGAGCAGCTCGACTTGCTATCATCACCACCGACGAGTGCACGTTGCCATTTGGAATGAGTGGCATGACGGATGCGTCAGCTACGCGGAGGTGCTGAATCCCGAAGACACGCAAGTGATTATCCACAACACCTTCCTCTTCTGTATTTGCCATGGATGCGCTGCCAACCCAGTGCGAGTTACGAAAGGCGGCACTGAGCACCCATCTGTCCAAGTCTGTGCACGGAGGGCAAACGTGTGATGAGCAATTCCCGGACCTGCCAGTATCATGATCCATGCAGATGCAGCGTACCTTCACTCGAAGAAATACCAACACCCGGGGCAATCTCGTGTCCGATCACGTTCCTCTCAGCTAAAACATACACAACAACATCTGTCAGCTTCGTTGTTTGCATGATCATGCCGCTTCGTAATTGCCACTTGCCCAGCTTTGATGTTATATTGCGGACCACACCAATCGCCCAGGATATCTTCCACACGTCACCCGGTCTCAGGTGTTCCGCCTCACCGTCTGACTCTTCCGAGACAACATGCGGTACTAGGTGGTCGACATTGTCGTCGTCGACAGAATCATCTTCATCGTGTATGAGTACAACGCGGTTACGAGCAAGAGGGTGCAGTAATGCAACCGTAATTACAACCTCTGTGGCGTGGTTAAGTGTGGCAGTGGTAGATATGTGGGGTTCCGATTTACGCGGAAATAGCGTGAGCTGGATTTCAGGCACCGTCGAGCCCGGAGGAGTCAAAAATGCTCCAGCACTGAGACCGGCGGAGCCGAAAAGTCCGTAGCTGGACGCGGTGGTATCTCTCGCATTGGTGGCCACGAAGTACGCGTCGAGTTCCGCTCTACAAGGCAACGTTATGACACAACGGTTAGACAATCCGGTAGACATCACTGCATGGTAAGCCAGAGGTAAACTTACTCGAGATCGACTTCTTCTTTGGGATCGTACTTGAATGACATTCCAATGACAGGATGATCCTGAAGGTTCATGCCTACCCATGGCAAGTGTTTCTTCGTTGGTAGACCAGCCTTCTCAAGCGTGGCGTAATCGCCAATTCCAGACAGCATCAGGATCTTGGGCGTATTGATCGCGCCGGCCGTGACAATGACCTCACCGAGTTCTGCCAGCCGAATGACCTCGGCCGTGCCATTTGCATAGCGCACTTCTACTCCTTCCGTTACGTTCTGCTCATTGATATTGATTTTCTGTGGCGAAAGCATCAGAGCAGTATTCACACCACCGTTTTACATACCATAATTACTTACGGTGACCATGGTGTCCAGCATCAAGCGGAAGTTACTTCGCGTGGATTCTGCCGTATCGTTGTCCAGCATTGGCCCAAGAAATGTTTTAGCAGCGCTCTCGCGTATGCCATCGCGGGTATTGAAGTGGTAATACCCGGCACCATGTCGCCCACCAGGCGCATTAAAGTCCATCGTTCGCGGGATACCTGCGTGCACACACGCCTCAATGAACTCGTGGGACAAGTTTGTCTTCACTGCAGGTGGACTAGTACGAAAGAATCCTCGCGTGCCGTGGTAGCTCGTGTTCGGCCCGTCAAAGTCCTCGATAGACGTGTAAATTTTCAGCGCCTGCTCCCACGTCCAGTTCGTAATATCCCAGCGTTCCAAATCTGACGGCAAGACCCGAACTAGCAAGACCGAGGCATTAGCCCCACTAATCCAAAAATCCAGCTCCGCCACCATTCTCATTGTAGCTTACGCACCGTAGAGCATCGCGTTGTGTACGCCACAGCCTCCCAGAGCTTTCGCCACGTTTACATCCGGATACGGCCAGTGCAACGGCGGCGTATTTACCACAATGGTCCAGTAAAAAGGCACGTCAAACGGTGTCAAGTTCTTTGTATTGAGCGGTGAATCGATGGCCTCCTGTAAACACATTCAGTGATGGTGTCAAACAACCGTTCAGTCGCTTCGTCTCCAGTAAGATCGATATCGTTGTGTGTGTGCACTTGAGCATGTCTCACCTTGCCCCCCAACTGTGTCTGGGACACGCCACCTGCTTCAATCAGCAACACGCGTCGCCATGGATCATCACTTAGCAGTTTGGCTACTACTGATCCTGCCGGGCCTCCACCAATGACGATTGCATCGTACTGCACAGCAAAAAAAACGAGCGGTCAGTTCACACACGTCACAAATTGAAACTGATATACCGGTTGGTGACTACCTTGTCGGCATGTACCCGCGGTAAAACCGGTTCCGACGGAGCAAAAAACCCTCGCAAGACGACAATGACGCAGGCGATGCCCCCAGCGAGTACCAACAGCAGTGCTAAGCTCTTCTTTAGCAGACGTGCATAGTAACTAGTGGACCTTGAGTTGTCCGAATGCAGCAGCGACGAGCGCTCGTCACTGCAGCTGGTGGCCATGAGCGCGGGTTAGCGCGGATTCCGAAATGCGAGATCACTGGCGTGCGTGCCTGCGATCCATCTCTTCCCTAACCATTTCAATGATTAGGCTAAGGCGGACAGTTTTTGGTCCGTTGTTTAGTCTTTGGTCTGTTTCTAATTCTGCGATCTTTGCGCAGGCAACTTCACCTGTATACGAGCATACCGTCGATTCCTGAGAAGTATGCCTTACGACCGGTTGCTACGTTGTGCAGACCTGCCACAAAAACGACACATAATCTGCAGCGCTTAATTTCGTGACACGAGTCTCGCGACCACGTCCGTCGACAGCACACGAAAGTCCCACTCAGTGCTTCATTGTGTCATTGTCCAAGTCGCGTCACTTTTGCTCCTTTCTTTTCGTTCTGGCGACACTTGCACTCATCATGCGTGAGATCCTGTCCATCCACCTTGGTCAGGGCGGTATCCAAACCGGTAACGCCTGCTGGGAGCTCTACTGTCTCGAGCACGGCATCCAACCGGATGGCACGATGCCCGGTGACACGTCCATCGGCAGTGGCGACGACTCGTTTTCGACGTTTTTTGCCGAGACAGGCGCAGGGAAACACGTGCCCCGTGCTGTGTTTGTTGACTTGGAAGCTACGGTCTGTGACGAGGTACGGACCGGTACGTACCGTCAATTGTACCACCCGGAGCAGATCATTTCGGGCAAAGAAGATGCAGCCAACAACTATGCACGAGGACACTATACTATCGGCAAGGAATACGTGGATTTGGTCCTGGATCGTGTGCGGAAACTGGCCGATGCCTGTACCGGTCTCCAGGGCTTTATGGTCTTCAATGCAGTCGGTGGGGGTACGGGTTCTGGCCTTGGCTCGTTGCTGCTCGAGCGGCTCTCGGTCGACTACGGCCGGAAGAGCAAGTTGGGCTTTACCATCTACCCGTCACCTCTCGTGTCGTCGGCGGTCGTCGAGCCTTACAACTCGGTGCTGTCCACGCACTCCCTGCTGGAGCACACGGACGTGGCCGTGATGCTGGACAATGAAGCTATCTACGATATCTGTCGTCGCTCGCTCGATATCGAGCGTCCGTCGTACACAAACCTGAATCGACTCATTGCTCAAGTGATTTCGTCGCTGACTACCTCACTGCGTTTTGACGGATCGCTCAATGTGGACATCAATGAGTTCCAGACGAATTTGGTGCCGTATCCGCGCATTCACTTCATGCTGAGCTCGTACGCGCCTGTAATCTCAGCTGAAAAGGCTTTCCACGAGCAGTTGTCGGTGGCTGAGATCACCAATAGCGCCTTTGAACCCACCTCGATGATGGCCAAGTGCGACCCACGTCATGGAAAGTACATGGCCACGTGTCTCATGTACCGAGGCGACGTTGTCCCCAAGGACGTGAATGCTGCAGTGGCCACCATAAAGACGAAGCGCACTATTCAATTCGTGGACTGGTGTCCCACAGGGTTTAAGTGCGGCATCAACTACCAGCCGCCATCTGTGGTGCCAGGTGGAGATCTCGCTCGCGTCCAGCGTGCAGTGTGCATGATCTCGAACACGAGCGCCATTGCTGAGGTCTTCTCTCGCATCAACCACAAGTTTGACCTGATGTATGCAAAGCGTGCGTTTGTGCACTGGTTCGTGGGCGAAGGTATGGAAGAAGGTGAGTTTTCTGAGGCCCGCGAGGACCTTGCGGCGCTGGAGAAGGATTACGAGGAGGTGTCGGCTGAGACCGCAGAGGGTGACGAAGAGGAATTTGGTGAAGAGTATTAGTCTTTTAGATCACCACCAGCACCACCAGCTGCCAGCCATAAGATTGGTATCGCAATGATGATTTTCTGCACACTAGTCATTCAATCGCTATTTGTAGAACCGAAATAGCTTACCCAAAGCTATGAATGGGTTTGAGGATCAAGTTTGTCTGTGCTGTGGCTACCACATCTAGTAGTGCAGATCTTGTTTCGACAGCGACTTCATGCGCGTCACTACTCCGGTAAAAATGTCGCAAATCGAGTAAGACCCACAAGAAAATGAGCAAAGTTGATACTGAAGAACGATGCCGATCGAAAGCGTATCGCATAGCAAAAAGATCTGATAGATCAGTTGTAAAAGTAATTTTAGATACATGCCTTTGATCAAAAACTGGGAAAGGTTAAACGCACCGGTCGACAGTGGTCATTGCATCGGTCACCACGTCTCTATCCATTTTAGGATAAGGACCCCGAAAAGCTTCGATGACGGCAATTCGATTGTAGCACAACTGTATTCAAACCATCTTTCACATTAACGTGTACATAGACGATCGTGAAAACAAAATACACATGTTTATGCAGCTCTCCCTTTAGTGAGGCTTTGGTGCTATAGTATAACCGTCGTCATTAATTGCCTACTGTGTAACAGGGCACTCTTTGTTTGGGGTGCCGCGAAACTTCACGTACACTAGCACGTGCAGAGGAAGCTAATCTACTAAAACAGCTAGTTTTAGTAAAGGAATAAATAGTATTGTTATTAATATAGTTAAGCTATCAATATAACTTCAGTCTTCATCGACATATATATTAATCTACATTGTCGTATGACGACGACCTGCTCACCACTCATTACGCGCGTCTAGCAGCGATTGGTGGTAACCTTGGTTGATATGTCTTTTATTAACCAATCTTTGAGCAGTGCGTGAACATTATCAAAAGAGAATAATATTCCTTCAATATTATCCATCTCGAAAAATATGGTCGGTGTATTGTCACGATGGAAAATCTTCCTATTGACACCGTTCGGTGTCAATATCATGTAACGGCCTACCCCGTTACGTCACCCCCCCCTTAACCACCAATCACCATTGACTAAATTTAATCGATTGGGACGGGTTAATTACCGTTGGATCACTCTGGGAAGGGGGCACTTGTTGGTCAAATTCCTACTCATTTGCCATTCATCGCATGGTGTCAAAGTCCATGCGGTGTGCTGCCGAAGCAGCTAGAAAGACGGTTGCACGCATGCGTGCAGCCAAGGGAGTTCTTCTCTTGCTTCAGCAGCAGGATGATCCTTCGTTTGTTGTTGCGATGTAGCAACAGGCATTGCCTGTTGTGACTAGTTCCCGTGATGAGTCACTACGTGCGACAGATACATCCGCTGCGTCTGTAGCGGGTGCTACGACTCGCAATGCGAATAAGCCTGAAGTAGAGCTCATCCATTCTGGCGGTCGGAGGATCCATCCGACTCGAAAGCGACACCTCACGCCTCCTGATCATCCGGGGTGGACACTACAAGAGCCAGGTTGAATGAATCTGTGGAACGTGGTGGCATCATGTCCGAGATCTTCGGACCGAGCGATTCTTCTGACGAATCCTCGTCTCACGCAAGTTTATCTGACGATAGGACGCATGGAGATGGTGGTGACGCATCTATGCATCACCACGATAGAAGCAACTCGAGGGATCGAGCTCCCACTGGTGTCAGTGCTCATGCTGACACCACTCAAGAGGTCAGGGACCGAAATGTCCTGCACCATGCTCCTAAAGTGGATTCTCCTTGGATGCCGTCATCCAAAGATTTCGATCGAGTGACCGGCATGGCCATTGAACAAAATCAAATTCCGTTGTTCGACTTTAAAAGGATCTATACTCCTAATTCCAGCACGGAAACTATCTATGCTGAGGAAGAGTTCTTCACCGATCCCTTTTTTTAAACATCGGTGGTACAATGGCAACCGTAGTCGAGACGGTAATTCCTTGGTGCAAGGATGGAATGCCTTCATCCATAACATCGAGTGCATGAGCCGTGAGACCTGGCTCGGTATAATTGATGCAGATCGCATCAGGTTTGAAAGCGTTACCCAGTCGGTGTACGGTACAAGTTGCACCGACTGTCAAAAGAAAAAAGAGAGGCAGGATTGCCCTTTCTCTCGTGGGGTAATTCGTTTTTAAGCTGCCTGGACAATGCCAAATGTGCCCATTGGAAGGCCTCCCTCCCTAATGTTCACTACTGGAGGGCTCGCATCTCTTCTGAGATGACCGAAGGGATTGACACTTTGCAATCGCTGTACTCGCGTTTGGGGAGGTCGTTTTTCGACGTCCCTTCTTCGAACGCAGCGGGTGGGTCTTGTCATACTAGTCGACGATACCCTGATCAACAATCAGCTGGGCACGAGGCTCCCAGCTGTCCCAGGACGGTGGATGGCCACGCTAGCGGACGAGTTAACTCGTCCGGACGCCAATCACGTCGCGGTGGTTTAAAATACGCTCCACCAGAAAGCATTGACCACCGCCAGAATCCACCAAAGGATGTGGTGATGGTGGGAACACCTAATCCGACTCGAGGTTTGGATCAGCTTGATGTTCGGGAGCTAAACCAAGTAACTGATCAGTTATACGATGACCTGGCTCATGAACGTACTCGGCGTTACGAGCTCCATGACCTTGTAAGGAATAAATACAATTCCTCAACGCACGATCGTTCGGACGATCGCGCCGCGTTTGCGTTCGCACAACTTGAGAACGAACGTTCGACTCGTTCTATTCGTGACGAGCTGGCTACAGCTCTTCAAGACATCGCTCAACTGCATGAGCAGGTCGCTTCGCTAGTCGAGCAGACTGGCTAGTTGAAACGGGACCACTCGAAGGTGGTCTCGGCCCTTGACCGCGGAGGTGTTCTTCGACTCTCGAAACGGGCTCGTACTGATAGTACGGGCAGAGACGTCCAATGTAAAACGTAGGATGCGTACGCATCCTACGGGGCATTTCAATCGTGTATGGGTTGCTCATTCGGCGCAACACACGAAATGGACCGACATACTTGGGCAGTATTCTACTGCTGTCCACGTTTGTTACTGCGTGCTTTGGTTGATGTACTTTTGACGGTAACACTATGCCTCCTTCATTTAATGAAAAGTATTTGTTCTTCCATATTTGTCTGCGTTTCTTTTCTGCTTATCTATTGCATCTGCAAAAAAGTCTTGAACGAAGCGGACAACCGCTTCGCGAGGCAGTAGAATTCCTCTGCGGAGTCAGCCTTGTTAACAGCAGTGATCTTCGCGTGCACTGCTGAAATAACGTTTTCTTCACCAGTGAGGGCGTCACCGTACGTACTGTAGCAGTCATTGGCAATACTGAATATACCAGCATCGTCATCGATGTAGATGTGATCGGCATCGGCATCCATCACGTCGAAACTATTGTCGACGGATGATGAGCAAGGACCAGTTCGGGTTTTGTTCGAGCGATCCCCCCTTCTTAAACTAGAGTCACACTCTAAGAAGGCGGGTAAATGTGGATGGCGTAGACCATTTACGAAGAACGGTGCATGCATTGTCGACGCATGCACCGAGTTGTTGATGGTGAATTCCGCCATCGGCAAGAAGTCACTCCAACTCGTAAACGAGTGGACAGACCCTCGAAGTATCTTTTCGAGGACGCGGTTGACGCGTTCCGTCTGACCATCTGTTTCTGGATGGTCAGAAAGTGACATCTTCAAACGTGTTCTAAGTGAACGGAACACGGATTGCCAGAATTTCGCTGTAAAGCGGAGGTCCATATCAGGCACGAGTTCACGGGGTAACCCGTGAAGTTGGAAGATAGTATCGATGGAGACACGAGCACAGCCCTGGGCTGTGATTGACTCCGGTAAAGCAACAAGATATATCATCTTGCTGAACCGATCAACAAACACAAGAATGCCAGTATTCTTGTGAGCATCTTTGGGAAACCCAAAGACGAAGTCCATCGATACGGACTGCCAACACTCTGCCAGAATCGGTAGAGGCTGCAAGAGTGCGCGGGATGAAGGACTAGGCTTCACCCGTTGACAAACTTCGCAAGCTCGAATGTATTTGCGCACAAACTCATACTGGCGGGGCCAGTAGAAGTCACTACTTAACGTCAGGTAAGTCTTTTCTCTACCGCGATGCCCACTTGCTGGGGCATCGTGACACTCTTACCTTAGGCGCAGTTGCAAATCATTATGAGCGGGAACAAAGACACGAGGTGTGTCGCCGTTGATTGCTGTATAGTACAGCAGTCCATCACGGACAGAATACCATTCGGTTGAAGAGCGGTATTGAGACGACAAGCTTTTCAAAGCTTGGACTGCATGGATTGGATACATAATCCGTTAACCGCAGAAGAGACTCATCTTCTGCGTGCAATTTTCGCACGTTGTCGAGCAGATTTGACGCCGGAACACTAACTGTTAGTGTCGCGACAGTGGTATCACCCCTACTGTTGTGTTGAGCAATCGACTCGAAACCGGGCCGACGCGAAAGAGCACCAGCGACGACATTAAGCTGTCCTGGTTTGTACTCGACGGAGAAGTTATACTTCGCGAAGAAAGACATTCACCTCGCCATACGTTGCAAGAGTTATGGACTGTTTACGGCCGTGCGTAACGACGCATGGTCGGTATAGACGATGAAGGGCCTATGTCCTAAGAGACATCCCCGAAACTTAGCCAGTGCACATTTCATGGCAGGGAGTTCCTTGTCATACAATTGATAATTACGCTCAGCTGCTTGTAGCTGACGCGATTGGTAATCGACGACGCGCTCAACGCCATCCGAGTCGTACTGCATTAACGCGCAGCCGATCGCAAAATCGCTGGCGTCACAGGCCACGTGGAATGGTCTGTCCTGGTCTCCACCGCCAACACAGGCGATTGCACCAAGCTTTTCTTGATACCTTTAGAAGAGTGCTGGCACTCAGCACTCCATGACCACCTCTCGTTTTTCTATAGCAGACGAGAGATATATACGGTCATCTCGGCGTAGTTGCGCGAGTAATTGTGCAAGAACGCCGCCAAGCCAAGGAACTTTTGAAGTCCCTTGACGTCGACGGCACAGGCCAGTCGTTAATCGCTTCGATCTTTATCGGATCAGGGCGTTCACCGTTTTAACTCACGATGCAGCCAAGGAGTGGTATTTCGTTCGCTGCGAATATGCACTTCTTGAGGTTCGCGAACAACTTTTGCTCTCGCATTAGTGTAAGAACCTTCCGGACGTGATTTCTATGAACCTCCACGTCTGACTTTCCATCCATAGCCCGGCTACGGACGGAGACATCGGCAAAGTAACTCGGTGCAAAATTTCGCACCGATCGCAACAGAGTCGTAACACATCTGTTGAGCGTTGCAGGGGAGTTACTTAGCCCCTCTGGCATCAATAGCCGCTCCCACAGCACACCACTGGGGGTGCTCACTGCTGTGCTTAGGATGTCCCGTTCAAGCATGAGAACCTGATAGAATCATCCATCCGATCCGTGGACGAAAAGATCGTACTTTTTGCCAGACCATCAATGATGACGTCCTTCCTCGGTATAGGCGTCTGAGCCGGAACCGTTGCATCGTTCATTTTGTTAAAGGCGTGCACTATCCGCCACCCCCCTGTGGCCTTTAGCACACATAACGTCGGAGAGCTGTGTGTAAATATTAATTCCCTCACATGACCAGCCGCTAAGCGATCAGCAAAGCATTTGTGGATCGCTGTGACCTGTTCATGAGTAAGTGGTCACTGCTTCATGACACATTCTCCGAACCGGGTTTCAGTTCGATCTCATGCCGAGTGCCTTGATCCTTAGGCAACTCGCATGGTACGGATTCCAGGAAAACATCCCTGAATTCACCCAAATCCTTATTCAAAGGATTTGTCTTCGCTGACTCTCAAGATTGAGACGTGTATCGCTCAATCCGGGTCTTCTTATTAGGGACACTCTCGCCCATCGATGAGCAACTGAGAACCCGTTCATTCTCAGTAAACACATGTGCCGACCGAATAACGGCAACGTACTCGTCCTCTGTGACGAGTACGCAGATCTGCTTGATCTTGTCACTACGCAGATCTCTCAAGAAAATTGTAGATTCTAGCGTCGGCAACTTGACCACCTCCGAAGCTGACTTCGGAGGTATAACCAGATCAAGTGTATAAGCGCCTACACTTGATCCGTCGTTCACCACGACATTCACTTTCTCGGTGCTTTTCTGGGAACATATTCGCAGTTAATTGAGGATCCACACCCTTAACATAACTCTATAGGGAGTTATTACTCTCAGGAACGCTGGAACTTTCTTCCAATATGTGTTCTGGCTGTGGGTGTACTACCAAAGTCGCGTTCTTTTCGATCGACTCTCTTTTAGTCGATCGTGTTTGCTTTGCGATCGACTCTTTGTTAGTCGATCTCGCTGTAACGTGTTGTTCATCCTGAGCAACATTCGTCGCTCGTCTTGGTGTGCTTCCGTGTGTGATTCCACTCGATCTTTTCGAGGGGTGAACCTTCGGCGAAGCCTGTGTCTCTGCACAGGTGCCGGAATCTGGTTCCACAGTATAGTAGCCTTCTACACTGTGATCTTGTGCATTCATACTAACGACCGTACCACAAGTTTGGCCATAGCACTCACTCGCAGTACAGCCACACGCTTGTGGACACTCCAAGATGTTCATCATATTGTCATCTGATCAAGAAACGGCAGGCATCTTCATGGATTGATGCTGCCATCTGACCCATGACTGGTATTTTCTAAGCCAGGGCAGACCAAGGATGACATCAAATTTGTCGTCCAAATCTATTACGATAAATTCATCATCGTACTGCTACCCTTCTAGCGTGTAGTGGATTCCCACTATGCAATTGTCCACTGTTACGGATGCGCCTGTTGTAAGGCACACCGTCATCCTCGCTGGAGGGAACTCTCGCTCAACATAGTTGAGCCTACTATCCTCGAGCCAGTGGTGTTGAATGGAATAATTTGACGCCTCACAGTCAACTAGGGCGCGAAGTGACATTCTACTTGTCACCTCGATCTTTAAAGTGATGAGGGACTCCTCATCACCAGGGGAAGTATTACATAGCGACTGTGTGTTGGGAGCAATCTTCGTCAATAGTCCTGCAAATTCTCTTGACGTTGCTGGATCAGCAGGGTGCTCCGCCCCTACTGACCCTGTCCGTTTTTTGGAGGTCTGAATTGCTGTCGCGGCTTAGCGACATGGTCGGACCCGTGCCTTGGGCTTTTCTTTGGACAACGGCGGTCATCACGTCCTGTCTTTGGACGTGATGCGGTGCTAGGACACTACACTCATGAGCTTAGTGTCCAATAATCGGACGGCGATGGCATCTTGCCGTTCGCTTGGGACTCAAAGAGCGAGACTTCTCGCTCTCGATGTAACAGAGGTCCATTGGTTCATGATCTCTGGTTTCCTGTCGTCTATTCTAAGATAGTTTGACGAAATATCATGAGAGTGTATCAGGCTGGAGGGTTCTTGTTCCGAATATGCGATAGCCTTTTCGGCGTATGAAAGTCCTCTCGGAACAAGTAGTTATTTACCGGTCCATCTACAAGACCGTAGATGAACACGTTGATGAGCGTGTGCACATCACGCTTACCTTGCTTGAGCATCAGGAGTGCAGAGCGTGCTTTAACCTCGGATCTTGGCGTCTAATACGTCTCTTTGAGCCGAGACTTAAAGATCTCCAACGACTCAAACACGTTTGGGTCGTGAAGCTTGAGACCCAAAACCCAAGTCTTTGCTTGTCCTGTCAAATTTGACAGGGCGAAGGTGACTTGCATCTCGTTACCCTCGATGTGACGGGCCCTGATGGTGTCGTCTCACTTGACGAACCATCTCGAAAGGGAATATTCATCGGTTCCCTTGTACCTTGAGATATCAATCTTCAAGGTTTCGGGTCGACGCATGTGCGTCGGCCCACCCATCCAATGATGCGAGCCTTGCTGCTGTAGCAAGGCTGTCTTCTTTCTTTTGACAGGAGGTTCCCCTTGTAGGAACTTAAGGATAGCAGAATGTTGCTGGTCTCTGCTTAGAAACTCCAATATGCTACTGATGGCGGGTTCGCCCATGAGCACACTCATGCGACCAACTATCTCGCATTCTGAGTCAATCCGATGGGAGTGGCCTTATCGTGTGACGTGAAAGCTGTCGTCTTCTACGTCCATCATGTTTGTGGGGTACAAACACTGAGTAGTTGTTGGACGGACTACAAAGTGCTACCAGGCGTAATGGGGCACCCTTTGTTTGGGTTGCCGCGAAACTTCACGTACACTAGTACGTGCAGAGGAAGCTAATCTACTAAAACAGCTAGTTTTAGTAAAGGAATAAATAGTATTGTTATTAATATAGTTAAGCTATCAATATAACTTCAGTCTTCATCGACATATATATT